TAATCACTGTAATTCGCAGGCACTTGAGCAAGAGAAGCAGAACGCTTCAAGTCAAGGGCTGAGTGGAGGTGCGATGGCATTTCCGGCTTCAGTCCGAATCGAGAGGAAGCTCTCGTTACGACCTTAAAAAATGGTGAGGTTTATAACATGTTCTTATCGCAGGTTAAGGGGACGGGTCGTGCTTTTTGGTCAAGACTTTCAATTTTTGTCGGACTCGTTGGTTTGAATGTGGCATAGGCACTGGATCATTCACAAAATAATTGGGACATCCTTCTCATGTTTGGCATGATTTCAGAAGAGAAAGACATAGAAGCTTTGCCTTGTAGCGCCAGTTGCATGCACTCAGAGAACATGCAGCAATCGACCACATCGACCACGAGCAGAAAGTAACTCTATGGAGTCACCGCCCGAAGAGGGTTTTTCAATGCGTTAGTCCTTGAAGTCGATCAGCAGCAACTTGGTGTCCTGGTGCAGCCCGAATAGGATCTTAGTTCCCTGGCAGGAATAGGTCATGTCCTGCAGGAATAGGTCACCAGCAAAGCATTGTTGAAGTCCGGGTTTTCCAAAAATCAGTTGGACAGTTGGAATCTGTTTGGAATCTGTTGGTTCTCCATCTTGCACTGCGTCCACGACACCCCAATGATTGGTTTTACACCCATTGTAGCCGGGGGTTAGCGGTTAGCAGGAGGGTTGCTACCATCTCTTGGTGGTGCGACGGTGGTGAAGACCGTTTCTGTCCTGACTTCCACCTTGGTTTTGGTTCAGAGAACTGAATCTTTTAAGCGCAAAGTCTCGCCACCGAGGCTTGTGTGAAGAGCTGCAACAGCTGAAAAAGCGAGGAGCTGAGATACTAAAAGGAAGCTGCACTTGCTCCGACTTTGGACTTGTTATTGGCGGCTGGATGTTTTGGCCTTCTTTTCTGAGTCGCTTTGTGATATTCTTGGCAGCGTGTTGAAGCAGCCTTATTGATGATGTCCTTTTTGGAGAAGAAGAAGAAGGAGAAGAAGGACTAGGAGAAGGAGAAGGAGAAGCAGAAGTAGAAGGAGGAGGAGAAGGAGAAGAAGAAGGAGAAGAAGGAGAAGAAGAAGAAGAAGGAGAAGAAGGAGAAGGAGAAGAAGAAGAAGGACAAGAAGGAGAAGGGGAAGAAGAAGAAGAAGGAGAAGAAGAGGAAGAAGAACCAGACTGACGATCTGACGCTTCAGACAAATCCCTTTGGTTCTTTGATCCAACTTTTTGGCGTTTTGTCCTGCAACCCCAACCACCCCAGGAAGCGTTCATTCTTCCTTTTTCATTTTGCCGGGACATGTCAGACATGTGACGGTCACAAGAGCCTTCATGACAAGGGTAAGATTCCATGTGAAGGTCACCACCTCATTGGCCCCGCTTGATGCGTTTCTCATCAGATGCGTGAGGCAATCAGTATAGCAAGGTACCCTCCAGAGGATTGACATAGAACCCAAGCACCAATTTTTGCACCCTGATGCGTTTGCCCGAGTGTTTTTTCTTGGAACTCATTCTTGGGTAGACCTGTCAGAACCCTTACACATCGACCCCGAGGTCTTTACAGGAAGAAGCTTCAGCCACAGCAGCCCAGGCTAACAAGTTGAAGGTCATGGAGGTGCCACCATCGCCATTTTTTGTTCATGAAGGTTTCATAAGAACATGCATGGTTTCATTGTAACGCTTTGAGGGGCTTCGTGCCTAAAAAGACATCACGCAGCTTTTGGCTGGTGCATGGATCCCTCTTCTCTGCCTAGCCAAAAGAGCTGGCCCCACAAAACCAGAAAGACTTGGCTTTTTTGGAGGTTGTCTGCTACACAGACTAGCGTAGCAGGTCGTCCTTTTCCAAAAGGAGTTTCAGGGCCGAAATCAGAAGCACAGATTTAGGGGAGGCTTGTTGGCTGGGAGGCTTGCCTTTCAAGAAAGCAACATATTTTTGCATGTGCTTGCCTTTCATCGCGCTTCAGGAGGAGTATCGCCGGGAATGCCAGCGGTTGCAGCAGCTGTGCCAGGAGCTGGAGTCTGCCACTGGGTCGAAGACACGTGAAAGGTGTTCTGATTTTCCCGAACGAAGTCCCCGACGTGTCCATGACATTTACCGGAAGGAGCTTTCGGTCCTTGTTCTCCAAAGATGCACAAGAACATCTTCTTTGATGCTGTGGAGACTATGGCTCATAGACTCACAGGCTTTGGTCGTTTCCAGAGGCCGTGTTTCTCTTTTCATCAAATTTCTGAGAGGACAATCCCCATTGTTGGTCGAACTTCTGGCCACAAGAACTTCTTGACCCTTTTATCGGATTTTTGCACCACTTTATCAGTCATTCCGTTGTTTTTGATCCGCATCGATGCACATCGATGCACACTCTTTTCTTTGCCAAATAGGTTCTTGAATATTCGTGGGATCCCGGGCTGGACATGCCCCCAGCTGGTCTGCCCGACATCGTGCAAAAGAACGACGTCGCCGCAAGACCTCTCTTGATCGTTTTGAAGCTATCTGAGGACCGAGACTCAGCCGGGGAGCCCAGGATATTACTGTCGTGACCTTTTTCCAGAGATGACGAGATTTGTTTGATGTGGCGCAACCCAATCCTATGCAGAAGCTGTCTGCAACACTTTCTGCGACCCATTCAGACCAGGAGACTCTTTGCGACGCAGTGGAAAACGTATTGACAGCTAAGAACTGAGGCGCTGGAACGGATGCAGGCAGCGGAGAACAGCGGAAAGCAGCAGCGACAGCAACTCCAGGCGCGATTTTTTTTGCTCTTTGCAGCACATAATTCCCATCGGAATCCAGTTGAATCATATTGAAACCATCTGAGAATGGATAGTTTTTTTCGATTCACTAGCGCTTCCACTTGAGTCACTTGAGCCATTGAAGGGTATGCGTGTCTTTGGCATGATTTGCGCACGCGTTGATGAGCGCTTTCCCAAAAGAACCGCAAGTTCCCTCGCCGGTTCGCGCAGCTTGCTATGGATGCATTTCCACCTTACGCAATCCGCATCCCAATGATGAATGGCCATTTGATGTCATTTGCTCCAGTATGTGACTTATCAGATTTCTTCAACCACGAAATACCTGTGCTTGGTAGGGTTCAACTAACTTGACTGTCCTCATATAGATATGGGCAGACAGACCTCCTAATGCTTTGCAGCTTCAAGGAAGCTCCCCCTGACCACAGGTCGAGCAAAACCCGAGTCCTTGCTGAGTCCGGATGCCAGCTTCCGAACGACCCGTGCTGATCCTACCACCCGCCCCAGGTCTCTGAGCTCCCGCCCCCGCCTGCTCGCCGTCCGACCTCGGACTTCTTCGCCAGGAGCTTGGCAGGAAGGGAAGCGCGGACGTCGGGAGCTCAGCTTGAAGGAACGGGTCGAGGAGAACAGGATGGGAAGGTGAGTGTGGAGAACAGGATGGGCCTAGAGCCATTTGGAGCACACTTTGTGCCAAGCAGAGTTGCTGATCCCAGATGGTCACACTTGTGGATGGTGTGAGAGGTGCCTGTTGTTTTTGAGAGGTCTCAAAAAGGTACACGTGGAAGACACCCAGTTCACATGGAGGGAGACACGCATTCAAGCATGTCTTGCCAGAGATCCCTTGGGAACTGCTCAGATAATATGTCAATTCTCAAGTGGATCTGGCCTGGGGCAATGCAAGGATCCGATCAGTTGAGGCTGTTCAAAGATGGTCCTAATATCAGTCAAGCTTGTTCTTCTGAGACAATCGGATGGATGCAGGTATAGGCCTAGAATGATTGAAATACTCATGGAAGTGGACGTCACCACCTGCTTGTAAAGGACATCCAAGGCGCCACTGAACAGCTCGTTTGGCTTTTCCCTTGTCTTCCTCCACGTCCGTGAGCGACCCGATGATATGGAGTCTGATTAGAAAGGACACCCTGGCCCTGGCTGGGTAGACTGGTCTGTTTCCCTTCTTCCAGAAGGTCGGAACGCCTGGGAGGTCTCATATTCCAAAGCACACCCATTTTGCTTGGCAGCTCCCTGTTCGTTGTGACAACTGAAACTTGTAGGGCTGTTTGAAGAAGTTCTCGCTTGCTTCGCGGCCCTGGGAGGCATCCCGTGCTGATGCCCTGGTGAAAGAGCTTGAGGTTGGAACCCCGCTGGCGACCGTGGGCTGTGTTTGGAACCTTCGGGTGCCCAGAAAATCCCAGAAATCACTCTTTGAGTCACGCACTGATATGCTTCTTTGAGCAAATCGACCCTTGCCTTTCAACTGGCCTTTCAACAACAGCTAATATGCGACGTTGCCTCATGCTGACAAATCGCTTTTATGCCCGTCCCTGCGATTTGTCCCGGCATCGTGCAATTGTCAAAGTCGTGATTGCTGGGGACAGCGGACGGGCGTCCAACGGGCCAGCTGGGCTTAACTGAGCTTCCAATCTGTACACGTAACTGACTCCTCTTTGGGCACCCGGCAAGTATGCTGCCAGTCGACGACCTAGCCCTTGGGGGGGGCCAAGGTTGGAATGTTTATGGTTCAAAGGTGTGAAGGTGTTTGAGTCGGGTAAATCAGCTCTGCAGTGGGGAGAGGACTCTCGGGGTGAAACCGTTTTTTGAAGAATGGAAGATGGGCTTGGCTCAAGCTGCGAAAGAAACGACAGAAGCCCTGCACTGCCGCAGCTAATGATCACTGGATGTTTTTCCCTTTCAGCAAGGACAACGCCTGAACGTTGCTGATTCCCCCCGATGAAACATCACTGGAACAAATGATTCTGACTTCCTACATGTTCTTGATGAACAAGTTGAAGCTTCCTCGAGTGTGAGCATGGGAGTCAACCACCAGACCGCGCATGGGACCCTATAGTGAGTTCCCATAGGTTTTTGCTCCTCCCATTCTGCCTGTAAGAAAAAGAACATGCGGTTTGCTCCAACAGCAGACGACGGGCGCTCATTCGAAGATCTCCCAAGGCCCACATTGGAGCATTCGGGATGGGTGGCAACCAGTGCGTGCATTCGTAGAAACGAAGCATTTGCTGAAAGGACACCTCGTCGGTTGACATTGCTGGTCACAACATCATCGCTTGTTCTCCGCGGGATCCGCGCCATGAAGCAGCTGGTGGTACAAAGGGTGAGGCGATGGGGTGGAATTTCTTGAGCCCGGTTTTTCCATCCCCGTGGTGTTGTATCAGAGTTCTTCGAGGCTGCTAAGGTTTTGGTTTCAGAGGGATCTGTTTTTCACTAATTATTCTATTTTATGCGCCGGCCACCGGCCAGGCCCGGCCACCGACCACGGGCCACCGGTCACCACGCAACCGGCCAAGCATCCAGCGGTCAACTAATGAGCATCCACAGGTCACCGGCCGCCAGCCAAGCGGCCAGGGGTACATCCACGAGGACACTTCTTGGGCCGCGGAGCATCAGCATGTATATATCGCCCGACAGGCTTTCAACATTTAGAGAGTTCAGGGCTCCCATCTACCACGGCCAGCTTGTTGGCCTGAAGGATTCCTAACTTCAAAAGCCCTCAGGGTCAACATCTCAAATTGCCAGCTTGTTGGTTTGCATCGCTCACCGTAATGCTTCCAGCCACTTGCAGCCACCAAAGCCATGCTTCAGAAACTGCATTACAATCTCTGGCGGCCAGCTTGTTGGCCAAGTCTTGCTAGCTGCTAGCCATGGAGAGCATACTTCCTTGACATGCTGCCGGCCCTGAGCCAGCTTGTTGGCAAAAGCTACTCTTAAGCTGAAGCTTTACACTCACTCCCGGCCAGCTTGTTGGCTCAGCCTCTTTTCACAGCTGACTTGCTTGCTACAGCGCAGGGTTCTAGCGGCTTCCCCTGGCCAGCTTGTTGGCCATACTGCACCCTGTTGTTGTCTCAACTGGCTAGCTTGTTGTAGTGAGCCCACTAGCAACTCTTTCTTTCCAGGCCACAGCGCTCTTCAAAACGCACACGCAGCCAACCTAAAGACACGCCTTCGGTCTCTCTCTCTCTCTCAGCCAGCCAGCTTGTTGATGAAATGAAAGGTCATTTTCGCCGGGCTTCCTACAATTCTTTCATATCTTGTTGGCCAAGACCTCTGTTTTCCATCTTGTTACAAAGCCACAAACTCATCACTTCGGAATGTCGCACACACCATTGCTGAAGACCACAACACTGCGCTGCTGTGCTTCAAAGTTGCGATCTTGGTTTCGGTTTCCAAGGTTCTTACAGCATTCTTTCCAAGGACCTTACAGCTTTGCCACTTGCAAGCAAGGTATAGGAAGAAGTAACAACACACAGTACTTTGAGTACTCTTGCACTACTACTTGTTGTTTGTCTATCGCAGCTCACTTCAGGACGGTCCGCGTATCTTCTCTGCCAGTCACCATTAGTTGAAGTGAACCTTCTGGACGGGGCGGCGTCCGCGCACAGATCATTGCTGAACCGCCAGCTCCCTGAACCGGCGGAGCCCGCTGCAGAACCACAACCCGCCACGCCTCCTGACAAAAAAACATTGGCAGCAGCTGCTGCTGTTTTAGTCCTTGTGCGCCTCTTGCTTCTCACAGCGCTTGGCAGTTTCATGTGTTTGTCTTTCGGCCATGTCCCGTGCGCAGCAAAATGTGGCCAGGCTGTTGGCCGAGGCCATCTCGTTGCCACTGCCATGAGCGGCAACGACAAGCATGATAAGCAGGGCACCTTACAGTTTCTAGCGTGGCAAGCTGCCATAAGATGTAGTCGTTAGGCTGAGTCGTTAGGTTGCACGCGCTTGCTAACCCCCAGTCATCACTTCTTGATTTGCCGACATTTTACAAGCTGGCCACCACGCATGTTTTTTGCAAGTGCACCATCGCTCCGGCCACTGCCCTAGCCACTGGTCAAGGGCCGCGCGCTAAATTGTATCGGCGTAGACCCCAAACCGCTTAGTCGGCAAAAATTCTTGTTGGCGTGGGCGGCGGCAGCCCCAGCCCCTGCCTCGGAAAGCAACGTAAACAGCTCAACAGCTGCAGGACAACAGAAAGACCGGAGGAGGACATAAGGAGGACAACAGAGGACAAAAAGATGAGGGAAGGAAAACAAGCACACCGACTCCAAGAGGCCAAAAGAAGGACAAACTGTGACCAGACAACGCCAAAAGGACAACAGGACAAGATGAGGGGAGCACGCCAACAAGAGAACAAGAGTAGAAGAGGAAGAGAGGACAAGAGAAAGACAAGACGATGCTGGGAGGAGTACGACCGAGGTAGGCTGGCAGCCGCGGTCAAAGAAGACCCGAAGAATGACGACAGCAGGACAACTGCAAGCACCAGGAAGACAGGGAAGGACAAGAGGAGGACAAGAGGAGGACACAGGGTTGGCCAGTGCGGCCAGAGGCCAACAGCAAGCACCAGGAGGACAAGAGGAGGACAAGAGGAGGGTTCAGAAACGCCGTTTGGGCCCTAAGAACAAAAAACAATCCCCGTGTTTTTCTCCATCGTTTTTGCCTATCAACTCTGTATGTGTTCCCATTGACTCGTTTGCACTTGCCGGCGATCATTCCCAGAACGTTGCGAAGTCGCGTGCCGATGTTGAATCAGAGCCTACGTTGTTGCAATGGCATGGGCAGTGTTTCCAGCAAAGGCCAGGCCGTCGTGATGACATTCTTTTTTTGCTGTCAGGCTCAGAGCCCGAGCGGAGGTGCGCTTGGGTGAGATTGCAAGAAACTTTTGTGCCGACCTGGTCAGCAAGCGAAGCCCCGATTTGATTCGACGATCAAAGTCTTGTCTCTCTCTCTCTCTTTTTTCCTCTCTCCTCGCGCACGCATGGAAAAGGTGTGGGAGAAACTTCCAAGATCTTAGATATCCTAGGTCCTGAGTTGTTTTTGTCTAAGGATGCTGGTCCATGTTCCAAACCTTTTCGACGGATCCGCGCCTTCATCGGCTCCTGCGGGTTTCCCTGTTTGAAACGTCCCCTTGTCCCGACGGTTCCAATCGACGCGATAGAACCCCTTGCCCCAATCGAGCCGAGCCAAAGCGGCGCAACAAAACCGGGGTCCGACCAGCTTTGCCCCAGCTGAAGGTTTTTTGGTTTTTGCGAGAAGACCCAGGACGAGGTCAACAAGTGACATCCACCGGTGGAGGGTCAAACAGAAAGATGAAGAAAACTCCATTCTGGCAGAAGGATGGGACTCAAAAAGGGAGGATGGGCAAAGATTCCTTGGAGAAGGAGTTGACAGACCATGAGTAGAAGTTCCAGTCGTAGCTTAGCCTTCTAAGATTCAAGAGGCTACTTCTTTGGTGACATCATGGAAACAGGAACTAGGTGACATGAATCTTCCCAGGCTTCGTTCGTGATATGTTCGATGATATTTGCATGTTTGGATGGGGTTATCTTTGAATTACATGGACTGTGGTCTGTCTTGTGAAGGAGGTCGCAAACCGCCCGGCAGGGTCGAAGGCTTCTGTCGCAAAGCAGGCGAGCTGGAATGAGGGCGGATTTGGTGCGGGAGGCAAAGTGCTTGGGGGATTTGTGGGTCATTGTGCCACATAAACCGAAATAGGTGTAATTTTCTTGGATTGGTGGCTCAAGACACTTGCTTCAGCCGTGGAGTGCGAGTGCTGGCACCAGGGAAAGCCGCAGAACCGACCCATTGGACGCGGCGCACCCGGACCTGGACCGCTCGGAGTCGACCAGGTCACCAGGTCTTGTGGCTTCGTTCCGGGCGTCGTTTGGGGAAGCGACGTGGCCGATGGCGCCCCACTCGGCCCGGGACAAGAACCGGTGTGCCGGCCAGGTGGCCCGAGACGAGCGGCATTCATGAGCCGGTCTGGGATAAGCAGATCATGTCGCCCGGTTTTTTGGGCGGGCTTTGATGGCAAACGGCGGTTTTGGGGAGGGATTCGATCCAAACGAGCTACTTCTACACGGACAAGGATTGATCAAAATTGGATCAAAATTATACTGTCCAGCTGCCAGCTGTGCTTGTGATGATTCTATTCTTCTGTGCTTGGAGTGATGTGTGCGTCCATGTTCCCTTTTTTTTTCCGAGGTATATTCACACATGTAATCCAACGAAGTTTAGAAGAAACACATCCGAGTGATCAACGATGAAAGATCTTGTTGCTTGTTCGGCATTTCAATTAGCTAGCTGCTAGCTCATCAAGTCATGAGCGACCCTTCCCCAATGCGCAAGTCATGAGGCTTTTGGGCAAGGGGGCTAAATTCTATTATTTATTGTTTCTACTAGCTTCTTGTTACTAGTAGTACGGCCAGGAGCCCCTAGTAGCGTTCTTGCTCCTAGTAGCGATGCCCTTTGCTCCGTTCGTAGCGTCCTCTACACCGGTGTTTGGTGGCCGATGGTCCGGGGTGGCTCGACGTCGGTCGCAGTCACCTTGGTCCCCCCCCCAAATACACTGTATTGGCTAGAGAAGAAGCAATTATATAAGAAGAGTTTCTAGAGAGAGCTCCTAAGAAAAGAGCTAGAACAGCAGAGGTTTCAATTCAAAAGTGGATAGAGAGAGATCCAAGCAAAAAAGTAGAAAGGCAGATGTCTGCAAACAGTCTCTAGAAGCAGAGGTAAGTTCGGATAAAGCTTGGGAGAGATAAAGACTTACAGACTTAGATGCATGAGATGTTCAAAGAATAACTTCTGGTGGAGATCCTTCGAGGACACATTTAACGCTGAGATTTCGATTTCGACATGTATTGAAAAGGAGGTGTGCGTAGTTGTCATAGAAAACCAGGAGAAAAGGTGCCGATTTCACAAATGTCGAGAAAAGACCATTTGAACATGTAGAGGTAGACCATTTCCTTTTGGAGGTAGACTATTTGTCCTCCGTCGTTGCATGGGGAACCCATTTTCCAACGTCTTTGTGGGCCTCCATTGGCTTCCTATCGATCATTTGGAGTCAAACCTAGATGTACTTTTTGACCTTTGACTTTGGCCTCTGCTTGCATTCCAACGAGTTTCCCTGCTTTCCAAGAACCATTTCCTTGCTTGGCTGCTTTCCTGATGGGGCATAGTTGCATTTCCACGGACATGCCATCAGCAACATTACATTTCATTTTGTTTCATCAGAGCATCACATCCTCATCGTCGTCGTCGTAATCATCACATTGCACCTGCCACAGCCGCCACAGCAGAAATCACATCACCTCATATCACCCCAGAACTTACTTCCATCTCCTCCGGATCTATATATATATATACTCCTAGAAGCTTTGTAGATCCACAGTTAGATGTTGTCACTCGTCGCAAAACGTGTTTGACGAAGGGCTCTGAGGCGACGTCACATCGCTCAAACGACCGACACACAGTGGGGACGGTCAAGTCATGTAGGATGCAACACATTGTAGACTATTCCGGAAGGGTGGTTTTTATTCATCAACAGTCGACATGACGACTTGCCTATCCTGGCATGGTTGCCTCGGCCACCGATACTCATAGGTGGACATGCCAAGCTGCCATGTGTGAGTCTTGAGCACCATGTGTGGGCTGAACAGCAAACCAATTTCAACATGTGTAAGAACCTTTCTTGCTTTTCACCGTGGGAAGGCACAAAAAGCTTCCTCGACATAGATTAAGACACTGTGGGTTGCGGATCTTGCCCAGGCAGTTTCCTCTCATGTGTCTTGGGTGCATATAGCTTGGAGAAGGTGGGCTGTGATTGTGTGAGAGTACCGTAAGAGCATGAACTTGTTGGGATCAAATCTCCAGGCCAATCTATATTTATGTTGATTCGCATTCGGCATGAGCACCAGCCCACTTGCCGGCCGTCGAGGGAACACCTTTAGGCACGAGTTCCGCAGGATGGAAAATAGGTGCGCCCACATGTGGTGGTAGGATCCACTTCGAGGTTTTTGAGATTGGTAGCGGAGCCCTGAATAGCAGGGCTCCGGGTAGATAGGACTCTACTCCGGATCATTCGGCATGAGCGCGGCTGCTAGTACTTCAGATTCCACTGGTCTTCGATCGTTCAGTGGAGATTCAGAAGATGCAAAAGAATACAAGCGATGGAAGGTGTGGGTGAGCAACAAATTGCTCACCATTGCTGACAAGGTTCCTGAACATGCCCGTGGCGCCTACGTGTACACCCTTTTGTCTGGCAAAGCATTGGAGTGTGTAGAGCACCTTGACCCCAGCAGTTATCAGAAGAAGGATGGCGAGAAGATCATCTTCGAACGCCTGGACCAGCGTTTTCCTCAGAAAGACGCTTCCGACGAGATGTCGGAAGTTTTGACGGAAGTGTTTGCCGTCAAATCCCATGAGGGAGAATCGCTGAAGGCCTGGATTTCTCGAGCAACTGAACTGTTCGATCGATGTCAACGCAAGGTCAACGTCAACTTTCCTGAGGAAGCTCGCGGTTGGATGATCCTACATCGATCTGGCTTGAGCGATGAGCAAAAGGCAGTTGTCCTCGCTCGATCGTTGGGGGTGTTGAAGAGGGAAGAGATCGGTCGTGCCATGCGCTCTTGTTACCCCGACTTCGTTGTTGGTAAGAGACGCGCTGCAGGTATTTCTCTGGTCGAGGATTCCCTACCTCCTGAGGACGACATCGCTGCTGATGAAGAGTTCGACGAACTTGAACAGTTCTTAGCAGAGCATCAGGTCACCTCCGAGGAGCCTGATGAGTTGTTCGATGAACCTGATGTCGCCGAGGCCCTAGCTGTGTCTTGGAAGGAGAGGAGAAAAGAGATGGGTCAACTCCAGCGTGCCCGCCGCTTCAAGCAAGCTCAAGATGTTCGTCACTCCTTCAAAGTCGAGATTGAGGAGTTGAAGCGTCGCACCAAATGCAACAAGTGCGGTGCTGTCGGACATTGGGCTCGTGAGTGCAAGTCAGGCAAGGGCGCTTGGAACAAGTCAGCATCCTCAAAAGGGTCGTCCAAGGGCAAGGAATCAGCTGCAGCCATGGTAGTTGAAGAACACTTCATCGCCATGATCGACATCCTGCCATCCTCTTGGCGATCCTTGCAGTGGTTGAGAGAGAAGCAACAGAAATGTTCACCTACTGCTGAAGAGCAGCTGCTTGTGAGTTCACCTGGGTTCGGAGTATTGGACTCCGGATGTGGCCGCTCCATCATTGGTTGGGATACATTGCAAGAGTTCAAAGACTTGTGGAAAGCCCGCCAGATGGAGATCCCCGAGCCTTTTTCTGAGGTGAACCACTTCAAGTATGGTAACGGCCACAAAGAGATGTCCAAACAGGCCATTCGTGTCCCCGTTCATCTCGGTGGCAGGGTAGGAACCATCAAGGCAGCAATCGTGCAGGGCCAAGCGCCCCTGTTGATCTCTCGCAGTGCACTCAAAACCCTGAAAGCCACCCTCAACTTCGAGACGAATGAACTGACTGTTTTCGATGATCGTGTAGTCATTCCTTTGGCCACCAATCAAGCTGGCCAATACACTGTTGATTTGCTTGGCAATCCTGAAGGCCCCAACAGTGCCTTCGAAGAAATCATGATGACCACCGCCATTGATCAGGTCAGTGCACCAACCCTCGACGTGTCGGGTAGTGATCCGCCGGCCATGTCGTCCATCGAGCCCAACAACGAGAAGCTGATGGCTCCAGATGCAGGTCCTCCGAATTCCGAAACAGCATCGTGGAGTAGGGTAGATATGTATGCCACTCATGTTCCTTCGCTAGGTAAACAGGGTCCCAGATGGACGACAGTCAAACATAGAATTGTGACCGACCTTGATTCTCATGAGGTGCTTTTCGACGAGCCAATTGATCCCAGTAAAGGTAAGGCCAAGTATCGTCATGCACTCCCTCCACATGTACTCCGATGTCAAACCGAATTTCTGTACACGCCACAGGAAGAGTGTCTGGTCTTGGAGAGCCTGCCCAAGCATCATCTCCGGCAGTTGGAGGCCATTGTTCGGGAGACGCTTGCCGTACAGCCTCATGACAAGTCCCAGCAGTCTCATGATCATGGTAAGACACTTCTAGTTGCCGAAGTCTTTTCACCGCCTCGATTTAGCCCGGTGGTCGAACAAATGGGCTTCGCGAGTCGTTCATACGATTTGCTCAACGGGTATGATTTTCGACGTGCCGCCGACAGGTCAGCTGTGAAGCAAGAACTGAGTGAGAGACCCCCCAAATTGCTTGTTCTCTGTCCGCCTTGCACGGACGAAGGCGGTTGGTTCAACCTGAACAGCATGTACATGACACCAGCCGAACGTGCAAGACGCATAGCTCAGAGTCGCATGTACATCCGCTTTTGCTGCCAACTGTTTGAGCAACAGGTGAAGTTAGGTGGTAGAGTGCTTTTGGAACACCCTCAGGGTTCAAAACTGTGGACATACCCAGAAGTGCAGGCTTTGAGTCAAGAACACCACCTGATTCTTTGTCACATGTGTAGGTATGGTCTCAGATTACCTGGTTCTGACAAGCTTCTCAAAAAGGGTACCCACCTGTTGGTCAGTCACGAGGACATGAAGATTTTGGCCAAAGAATGTCCGGGTCAGCAACATCCAAAGCATGCATGTCATCAGCACATTGCCGGATCTGTTCCTGGTGTGGGTCAAGTAAGTACATTTGCTGGACAATACACTCATCAGTTTGTAGATGCTGTGTTGTCAACCATCCCAATGTTCAGGAAGCAGGAGGCAGCAAGCTGTGCAGCGTGTCCATCATGCCCAGAGCAGAAATGTCAAGAGGTTTTGATGGCCAAAGCCGATCTAGGTAGCGATGTTCCCGATGACCAAATTAAGAAGGTCCTCGATCGGTTGCACAGGAACCTTGGTCATCCACCCGTGCACGACTTGATTCGCCTGCTGAAACACGCTCAGGCCAGCCAGAAGGCAATTGACCTTGCTCGCAAATTCGACTGTGATCTGTGCAAGAGTCAGATCCGCCCACATGTGCCATTGCCAGCCAAGACCAATAGAGTGTCGGGTTTTAACCAGGTCGTCGGTCTCGATGTCAAGAATCTTCCAGGTTGGACCTCTAATCAGAAAATCAAGGCACTGAATATTGTTTGCCATGGTAGTTGCTATCAACTGATGATTCCATTCTTCCAAGCTGAGACCTCAGAACTTCTTCGAAGATTGTTCACCGATCATTGGATTCGCATTTTCGGTCCTCCGAAGGTAGTGGTTCTTGATCAGGCCAGAACTAACATGGGAGAGGCACTCCAAAACCATTTCGATTTGCAAGGCACCGAAGTGCGACAGATCGCGGGCGAAGCACACTGGCAACTAGGTAGAACAGAGGTTCATGGAGGTTGGTTCGCCCGCATTCTCACCAAGATCATTGCTGAACACACGCCTGAAACTCAAAAGGCTTGGGAAGAGTGTGTTACACATGCACATGTCAAGAACCAGATGATTCAGAACTATGGTTACACTCCACATCAACACGTGTTCGGTCAGAATCCCCGCATTCCTTCCGACTTGTTGGACGAACCACTTCATGTAGTGCCAGCCACTGCAAGCCTTGATGAAGCCAGTCTGGCACAATCACAGGCCATTCGACTGTCTGCCCGCAAAGCGGTCATCGAAATGCAGGATAGTATGTCGCTTCGTAGAGCCTTGGCGGCCCGGCCACGCCTGCACCAAGTCTTTGAGCCAGGATCCATGGTTGCGTACTGGAGACATCAGAAGTTCCAACAAGGTCAAGGGGTAGTTTTGGGAGGAAAGTGGTATGGTACCGCCATAGTTATCGGTCGAGTTGGTCGAAACTATGTGATCGCTCATCGCAAGCATATCTTTCGCTGTGCACCTGAACAACTGCGTCCAGCCACGTCAGAGGAGAGTATCTTGGTCAAGACGTCCCAATCTGAGCTGTTAGGAATCAAAGATCTCATCCAAGGGGGTACTTTCAGAAGTCAGAACTTTGTTGACTTGGTTCCTGGACATTATCCACCTGAAGTACAGACTGATCAAATAGGCGATGTTCCAATGGCCAGTAATTCGCCTGTAGTGCCTGAGCCCGTTGATCAGCCTGGTAAGGAGTCTGACCAATTGACTCCTCATCCCCCAAGTACTGACGAGGGAGCTCCAAGTCCTCCAGAAGACCCTCCTGAAAACCCTCTGATAGGTGAGAAGACCGATGAAGAAAAGCTCATTGAAGAGAACTCAACATCTGGATCCGACTTGAAGACTGCCTCGAGTTATGGCCCCGTTCGCTCTCGATCGCGAGTGACCATGAAAAGTGGACCAGCGGCACTCTTTCGACCAAGACCTATGCTGCAAGATGACTTTGTGGATCTCATGACTGAAGTTGTCCCCAGACTCATCACTGAGCATATCGATAAATCATCAGCCGTGAATTGGGAACCAGATCCTGACAGCTTGCAAGACGTGTCCAGTGGTCCCAGCAGCGGTAGTGGTCTTAAGAGGTCTGCCGATTCACAAGTGGCAACTGAAGAGCCACCAGCTGTGCGTCCCAAGACTGATGACACACAAGAGTCGCTAACCTCCCAGTGGTCACATGAAATCATGTCAGTGCAAGAATGTCAACAACTGATGCAAGTTTGGGATCAGACCCAAGACGTTGAAATCTTGATCGCAGCATATCTTCAGAAAAAGACATCTAAAGAAGTGCCTGCTGTGGGAAATGAACCTCTTGTGCAGCAAATGGTGGACGAATCCAAGCTGGTAGAATGGTCCACGTTGATAGAAAAAGGGGCTATTTGGGTTCATACAGGTAAGAAGGCAGCATATCTAAGAAGCAAATATCCAGAACGGTTCATGGGTAGCAGGTTTGTCATTGTGAGAAAACCATTAGAAGAAAACCTGCATCTCGACATTCAGGATCCCTCCACGTTTCGCATCAAAAGCAGGTGGTGCTTGCAAGGTCACTTAGACCCAGATCTCGACCAAAAATTGGATGAGGGACTCCTGCAGAGCCCCACACTCAGTCAAATTGGACCTATGATACTAATGCAAGTCATATGTTCACATGGTTGGGATTTGCAGTTAGGCGATATAAGAGGCGCCTTCCTAGAGGCCGGTCCACTCCCAGAGAGATTTCGGCCACTGTTTGCAAAGCAGCCTCAAGGGGGCATCCCTGGAGTCGAGGCAGACGCCGTCTTGGAGGTGGTTGGAAATGTCTACGGACAGAACGACGCTCCGTCCGCATGGCACAGGGCTTTCGATCAAGCCGCCACCAGCATTGGTTGGGAAAAGTCCACTTTCGACTCCTGTCTCTATTTTCTTCGTGATCACCATGGTTTAACCGGTATCATGGGTGTTCACGTTGACGATACAGCAATAGGTGGAACTGGACCCCTTTTCGAAAAGGCAGTGCATCAACTCAAGGAACGATTCCCATACCGGAAATGGCGGGTTCAGTCGGGAGAGTTTTGTGGAGCCTTTTACACACAAGACCCTAGGACCAAAAGCATATCAATGTCGCAACAGACTTTTGCTGAAGGGATTAGACCGGCCCACATTCCGAAGGGAGCAAACAATGACCAACCCTTGAACGAGCAACAGACCAGGGTTCTTCGGGCGATAAATGGAAGCCTCAACTGGATTTCTACTCAATCACGACCTGATGCTTCGGTTCAGACCAGTCTTAGCCAACAATGCTTCCCTAGGCCGACCATCAAGAATCTGAGAGAAGCAAATAATGCTGTTCGTAGAATCAAGCAACATAAAGATTTGAAGATCCACTTCCATCCGATTGACCCAGCACGACTCCGAATCTGTTGTCATTCTGATGCAGCGTTTGCGAATGTTGGAACTCACACTCAGGCGGGGTACATCCTGTCCTTTGTAGATAAAGACCTGAATGAAGGAAAGATTTCTCATTGGACTCCGATTGTTTGGCGCAGTTACAAGCTGCCAAGAGCTGTGAGCTCCACACTCGCTGGAGAGAGTCAAGCTCTGTCCACCGCGTCAGGCACGGTTGAATGGATGAGTCTAATTTTGAGCGAAGCCCTGGATGGCAGTTTTGAGCCAAGGCAATTCCTGGAAAGACTTCAAGCTCGATCACCGATTCTCACAACAGATTGCAAATCGTTGTATGACCACTTGATTTCACCCTCATCACCGACTGCAGTAGAAGATCGAAGAACCAGCATCGACATTGTTATCATCAGAGAATCCATTCGTAGACTCAAAGCCTCCATGAGATGGCTTCCCACGAATCGCATGCTCGCCGACGCCCTCACTAAGGATAAACTAGATCCTGTAGATCTCCTAAGAGCTTGCATGAGAAGTGGAACATACCAAATCTCACCTGAGGAACATGTTTTGGCTCAACAAGCTGCTGAGAGGGAACTTCGGATGCAGAGACGTCAACTGACATCCAATCAGTCCCCTGGCAAAAATGCAGAGCCAACGGGTGATCCCATAATTCACTCAGAACCATAAGATAGATCAGCTATGCTTGAGAGACTTTAACATCTTGAATAGTGAAAGATAAGATAGTCATATTCGGGAGAGTATCTTGTGGGAGCACTATATGGTGCGAGTCTTCAGTGCATATGTTGTTTTTGCAAAATGTTGGTCAAGCAGTGCCGTGCATGTTTTTCAATCGTTAATGCCTCCGCAGCCTTTTGAAGTGAGCACGAATCGTTTTCGAGTCAGCCGACCAAGTTCTAAAATGGCTTGGACCTCCGATGATGCCGCCAAGCTGCAAGAGCTGCTCCAGAAAGCAGCTGCCAACGGTGTGCATCCTCTTGCTGCTCTTGAGAAGACCGGCCGTCACTTTCAGGACGATGGTTTTGAATTGGTGACCACTGGTGGCATGTCAGACGCCACCAAGCGGCTGGGAGATGACCAATTGCCTGTGGCAAAGAAGCCAAACCAAAAGAGCTCGACCATGCCGCTGCAGACCGACGGCTCGATGGGATACTATGTTAAGGAAATGATGCCTGTGCCACTCCCCAGCTCATCGCTGGATCCGGCTCCGACCTACCTGCCAGCTGGAGTGAAGAGTTTGACACAGTGGAGCCAGTCGGTCATTGGTTTTGGCAAGTTCAAAGGCAAAGGAATGAGCTATGCTGACTTGATCAATGCTGGCACGGAAGAGACCAAGGGATACATCAAATGGTGCAAGTCCCGGCAGTCCAGTGCTGGTGGTGAGTTGGCTGACTTGGCCAATTTTCTAGTTCAGCATGAAGCCGAGCAGTGCAAGTCGGATAGCTCACTCGGTGAGGTCATCGCTGGCACCAGCACGCGAAGGGTCTTCAAGTCGTGAATCACGATTGGATCCTCGATAGGCGGCCTAGATTTGAGCACTGCATGAAAGATGCTTCGTCGATTTTCTAAAGAAGATTATAAGCAGTGTTGATTCGCATTCGGCATGAGCACCAGCCCACTTGCCGGCCGTCGAGGGAACACCTTTAGGCACGAGTTCCGCAGGATGGAAAATAGGTGCGCCCACATGTGGTGGTAGGATCCACTTCGAGGTTTTTGAGATTTATATAGCAAGACGAGGTGCATGGGTCTTCATGTGCCTTGGAAGTCTGCCCACCGGTGTCCCCAAACTTCTGTTCGCTTGCAGGGTGGAATTCTCTTGGATTTAGTGCAGCGTGTGGGAGGAAAGTTAGCACATCGACCTCAGAAAGTTGCACCATGTAACATTTTGGGTGTATATGTAACATCGGGAGGCCTCTCAGTTCGACCCATCTTCAAGTTCGACCCAATGGGTTTGGTGGTTGGGGTCTCCCTATTTCAAGTTGTTTGTTCTCTGAGGAATATGTTCGAGACCTATTTCGTCCTCCGAGAGGCCCGGTGGACCTCAAATCACCTCCGGGTGACCTCGTCGACATCGACGGAGATCACTGGTCGACGGAGTCGGACCATTCTTTTTGATCGTCGACTGGAGGACTCTTTCCAGGGGTCGTCGACTGGATTGGGAGGTTTTTTCCGAATTTTCCACGTCTTGCGCGGGGGACTCTGGACCACTCTTAGGCTTGCAAAGTCTAGGCCAGTTGTGATCTGCAGACATAGCGACGGAACCATACCGAACCATTTCCAGCTTGGACAGATTTGAGCATTGAACGTCGCTTCGAGGATGTCGTCACCTCACTTTGCTTCCTCTGTAGCACGCAGTTTCGGCTCAATATCTGCTGCCTTTTCCGGTGCTGCTCGCTGAATGATGAAGAGCCGCTTGGATCACAAACTAGCTCGTTTGAAACAACACAAAAGCTTATTGAAGTGCTTCTTGATTGAGACGATTGCAGCATGGTTTTCCACCTTTCAAGTGATCTTTCTTTCGACTGTCGATCCCATCGTTTGATGTTCATCTGATTCGACTCGTCGTAGAACGATCCTTTTGGAGCCTGGGCGCCTTTTCGGCACCGGAACCTGGGACGGACGTTCGAGACCTCGGGACCTTCGTCCCAGGCGGTGTGATCGTCGTACTCTCGGCCCGGGCTCCGCAGCGCGCAGCGCGCAGCGCGGAGGGGTGGGTGAAGGGCGCCCTTGTGGAGGTGATGATTTGGAGTTCCGCCCCAGACGGTAGGAAGGTTTTTGGAGCTCTTTCCTTGGGTTTACGAAGGCGGAGATCGATGCTATGAAAGCCTCATCCAAAGATGCACTTTGATAACAAAGCTTCATCAGAGGATTGCACCATCGGGAGGAATCCTGAATCCAAACCCCGCCAAGGAGGCCTACAATAGATTGACCGGGCATTTTGGGGTGAAAGACATCATGATCTGTAAGATTCAACACGAATCCACATGGCTTGGATATGATGGACACGCAGACGCAAAAGAACTCTTATGTACCCGTCTCTTTATATCGACACTCGACACATATTACCTTATATGCTTCCAATCCGACATAGTCTTTCGATGGAGAATAGGCAAGCTATGTGTAAGTACTCGTGCCCAGACTAAGACTGAGGTCCCAGAGTCGTCAGAGGTCTCCAAATCAGAGGTCTCGAGACATTTTTTAATATTTTCACATCGAGAACCTCGGGTCTAGATTCTAGATGGATGTCTCAAATTTGGGTCTTCTTTCCGTCTCAAAAGAATGGTTTTCTTCAGTGGAGGTCCGGCCGCCCTCGGGATCAGGCCTTGGCCGTGGCCAATGGAAGCCCCGAAGAACTCCAGGCGCGAGACCAGCGATGCGCCACACACAGCGGCGTGGCTCTTCCAGCCCAGGTTCAGTGAAGTTTGAACGAAGAACGAAGATGAATTGAACGAAAAAAGCCACGCTTTTTAAACCTCTTTTTCTGCCTTGAACAATTGAACCAGCACGGCCCCCGCCTCGACGGAGTGAACGTGGCGCGCGCGCGTGCGCGGGTGTGTGTGTGTATGTTTGTGTAATCCTTGGAGTCACAGGGATTCAATCGAATTTGTTTCTCCATTCATCTTTTGAGAGGGATCTCCAGTTGTAGCCTCTGCCAGCGAAGCTCTACACTGGACGATCAGGTAAGCATACCTGCTGTGGTGCACTTGGGCGCATAATAAGACGCAGCTGGTGGCCACCCTTCAAATTCAGTTTTAATTCTGCAGACTTGCACGATTCGTCGTCACCTCGTCGCGCTTCCGCAGTTCGAGCTCGTGGGCTTTGAAGGTTTCTTGGAGGCTTCATCGAGTTACCAACTAACCTGAACCCTTAGGCGGTCATACCTAGGTGGGCGTGTCGCCTGAGGCTTTCGGATCAGTACGCATTTCTATAAGTGTGTCTGGCGCCATGCCAGCCCAGGGTGAGCCCGAGGAGTGCCCCCTGTGGAGCCGTGGAACAGGTTTTTTTTCCATGTTCCCCAGCTTGGAACGTAGGTGTCCGAAGCAGACAGCAGGAGGCTTGTGCCAGAGTTGTTTGCCAAGACCTGATGAATTACTGAAACCAAGTAGGCAGCTATCCAGCAGCCATTAGGTGACTGCTGGTCTTTCTAATGAGGGTTGGTTTCATTTGTTCCTGTCCCCTCCATTTGGTTCCCCTTTTCATCCTTTCCCCTCACACACACACATCTTCTTTCCTGTTTTCTTTCATGTCTTCCTGCCTTCGTGGCTTGGCATCTCATCCCTTCTTTCTTTTGCCCGCACATTGGTCCACCCCTTAGTTTGTACGTGCACATTTACATCTACTTCAAGCCCAGGTTTCAGGTCGCCCAGGTTTGACAATGAGGTGAGGTTCGTTGTTTGTCCCTGTGCAGTTGGTTCCTCTTCATCGCAACCACGTACACTTTTGTCCTGTCTCGTCCTCTTTTCATGTCTTCATCTTTTTGTCCTTGCTGCGCGCACACATGCACATCAGTCCTGGCCTTAGGTCTTCTCGCCTCCACTTGTGGGAGGCGTGTGTGCGTAACCCTTGGAGTCACAGGGATTCCTTCGAACTTGTTTCTCCATTCATCAGCAAGGGGCAGAGGGATCTCCGTTGTAGCCTCTGCCACCGAAGCTAGACTGGACGATCAGGTACACGTACCTGCTGTGGTGCACTTGGGCGCATAATAAGACGCAGCTGGTGGCCACTTCGAGCTCGTGGGCTCTGAAGGTTTCTTGGAGGTTTCATCGAGTTACCAACTAACCTGAACCCTTAGGCGGTCATACCTAGGTGAGCGTGTGGCATGAGGCTTTCAGATCAGTACGCATTTCTATGATTGTGTGTGTGCAGACAGGAGAAAGGAGGTGAAAAGAGACGTGTCGAGTCGAGGAGCAACGCGAAAACACGACGTGGCGAGGAGGTTTGGTTTGGGTGAGTGTCTCTTTGATGCCCTGTCGCGTGTTTATGCCTACTTAAGCAACTGAAGCTGGAAAAGGAAAAGGATGAAGCCGAAACACATAGTTATAATACATTGGATGCAGTCTCTCATTATCGGGAACACCTCCAAACTTGGAAAATTGGAGCAACCTATGGAAATTTGACGCGCCTCTAGAACCAGTGGTTGCTCAAGCCTGCCCGGCGGGGGCAAATACTGCATTTCGAGTTTGGCAAGTCTTTCGGCAACTCCAGTGGCACCCACCTGATCAACCAAAATTACCAGATGTCTGGGGTATTACATGGTACGAACTGCCATTAGTTTCATGTTTTTCTGGAACTGCACTTCCGGTGTGGATCTATCATAAAAAAAGTCATCTTCCTACACCGTATGCTTTCCACTCAGAAGAGGTTGCAATTCAGAAAGAGGAGTCTAGAAGTTTGTGGCACCAAGTGAATACTCTTCGTGCTGTGGTTTGCAATTTGGAAAATACTCTGCAAACACCGCCCGTTCCTGAATATACCAAAACTGGGGCGCCATCATTGATTCGCCTTAAATTTCATAAGAGTTTACTTGGCGGTATTGCTTCCCGGCGTGTTTTGCCATGTCCTGATCATTTGCTTCACGCTGTACAAGATGCATCGTTGCCAAACCAGTGCTATCCTCATCATGTTCGACTCGCCACACCATTTGTTGCTAAAACTGATCCGCTTGAGGCACCATATGTCGAAATTCCTTTTCAAAATAGGAGCGGACTCTACCAACGGATAAAATAAATGCATTCGTAATAGAACCTCATTGGCACACATCACAATCACGGACTGAGTGGGCCTCTTTAATTCATAATTCATTTTGTCATATTTTGTCATCCTTCTCGGATCACGATGACTTTTGTTTTGTACAAAGTCGTCAATTCAATGTGCTATTTTCGTTACTGTATGTGGATATTTGTCTACCTTCTAGCACCCCACGTACGCGGAAGGGCTTAGAGGGGCGAGCCGTCAGACAGTTCGCAAGTGAGTGTGGTGAGTGTTTCGTTTTTTCCCAAAGCTTCGGACTCGGACCTTTTGGCTATGTTTTCACACCAATGCTTGGGTTCCCGCAGTTCCACTCGGTGGGTCATCGGACGTGACTTGGACCTTTCCGATACTGTAAATAGAACGGCCGTCTGTTTTTCCCCAAATAACTTGGACCTTTCCGATGCCGAGAGCTATTACATTCTTACTTCAAGTATAAGAAGCAACATGCCGCTGCCGGATGTGTGGCCGTGTGCGCTTTGGAGCTTGTGTGCTGGTGCCGCCGCAGGGTGCCGCTGCCAGGTGTGTGGCCGTGTGCGTTTTGGGTTTGGGTGCGGTGCCGCTGCAGGGTGCCGCTGCCAGATGTCGGCGGTGTGCGGTTTGGAGCTTGCGTGCTGGTGCCGCCGCAGGGTGCCGCTGCCAAATGTGTGGCTGTGTGCATTTTGGGCATGGGTGCTGGTGCCGCTGGCTGCCCACCAAAGTCATTTTGCTATCTGCGGTCTACGCCATGCTGGCGTAATGATTGCTTTGATTAGGAGCAAAAACCAGCCTTTTCATTTGCAGCCGGGCCACTCCACTACTTGCTTGACACTAAGAGGCTGACAGTTCTTTTAGGACTCAACGTTACGTTTTTCGGCGCTCGCGGCGTTCGATGATTTCATTGGGGGCCGTGGGAGGCCGAAATTCAAGCACTGCGCCAACAACTCCGCCAGCAGAAGGTTCTGATCAAGGCAAACCAGGGGTGCTTAATTGTTCGGCGATTCTTGTGACATTCGGATGAGCCAGTGAACTTTGGGGAAGAAATGAATGTTGAACCAAAATTTGCCCCACAGGAGCAGGGTGATCGATTGCTGGAGGAGGAGGAGGCGCAGTCTCGCCGCCTACAGTTTGTGGATGCGGCCACTTTGAGCACTCAGGTTGGCTGGTGGGGTGGGGGGATTTCAAGCAGAAGGTGGACACGTCGGCTTCCCACAAAAAGGACACGTGTAGCGTGTGCTTCCCATTTCTGAAGGCTTAGTGCCATGTGGAAAGAACCTGACCTGCACTTTGCGAATGAACCAG